CCAAACCAGGCTGAACTGCACCAGGTTGGGCCAAACCGGGCTGAACTGCACCAGTTTGTCCCAAATCACGCTGATCCACTCCACGTTGGACCAAACCAGGCTGAACTGCACCAGGTTGGACCAAACCGGGTTGAACTGTACCAGCTTGTGCCAAACCGGGCTGAACTGCACCAGCTTGTGCCAAACCACGCTGATCTATACCAGGTTGCGCCAAATCACGCTGATCTGCAGCAGCTTGTGCTAAGTCACGCTGACCTCCAGGTTGGATCACACCATAGTGATCTGTACCAGGCTGGAACAAACCAAACTGATCTGTGCCAGGCTGCACAAAACCACTCTGATCAACTCCTAGCTGAACCAAACCATGTTGATCTATTCCAGGTTGGACCAAACTACGTGGATCTGCACCAGGCTGTACCAAATCACGTGGATATGTACCAGGCTGTACCAGTCCAGGTAGATACACGTCAGGCTGTATCCAGCCACTAGGAAATGTACCAGGTTGTACCAGACCATGCTGATCCATGCCAGGGTGGACTAAATCAGGTGGATATGCATCAATCTGTACCACGTCAATCCGATCTGTACCAGGTTGGACCATGCCAGGCTGATCTACACCAGGCTGTACCAAACCACCCTGACCTGCACCAGATTGGACCAAACCATGCTGACCTGTGCCAGGCTGGACCAAACCAGATTGATCCATTCCAGGCCAGACCAAGCCAGGTGGATATGCACCAGGCTGCACCAAACCATGCTGAAATCTGCCAGACTGGATCAAATCATGCTGCTCCGTGCCAGGTTGTATGAAGCCAGTTGCTTCCAAACTGGGCTGCACAAAACCTTGCTGATCTGCACTAACTGGTATCAAACCAGGTGGTACACCATGCTGGTCTGTAAAAGGTGGAACCAGTCCATGTTGATCTATGCCAGGCCATACCAATCCTTGTTGGTCCATATCAGGGGGTATCAGTCCTTGCTGACCCATGACTGATATTACAAATCCATGCTGATCCGTGACAAGTGGTTCCACACTGCGTTGGTCTGTGCCAGGAAGTGTCACACCAGGCTGGTATGGGCTGAGTGGAACCACAGCATGCCGGTCTGTGCTAGGTAGTTCCAATCCTTGCTGGTCTCTGCCAGGTACTGATAGTGGCACCATACCTTTCTGATCCATGACAAGTGGTACCAGTTCCTGATCATCCATTTCAGGTGGCAGTACACCAAGCTGACCCATGTTGAGGGGGACCACACCATGCGGGTAGGTGCTAGCATGCATGAATCCAGGCTGATCCATGCCAGTTGGTTCTAACCCATGGCGATCTGGCCTTGCACGGACCTGACTCTGGCTAGTGGGCACCCTGCTGGGCTGGCCACTGGCCAAGGTTAAGTCCTGTTGAGCTGGGCCAGGACGTGCATCTTGTTCATCTCTTCTTGGATGTGTCGAGGTGAGCTTCTCTTTACTTCGTTGACGATCGGAGTCTAATTTGAATCGGAATACAGAAGACGGATGGAGTTGTGGCATGTCAGCCTCATCACGGGCCCTCGGCTGCTGCTGTCTACCAGCACCAGGCGGGGGCCTGCTTTGTTCCCTGCCAGTCACCCCATCAGAGGGGTGTGCTGTGCCACTAGACCCTGATGCAGTCTGATCCGGGCCGAGACCCCTGGCAGAATCCAGAGCCTGGTCAATACTTGGTTGCTTGGTAGGTGCTCTGCTTAGAGTCGCATCAGATGATGTTAAGGAGGTGAACCCTCTGCGCTTAGAAAATTCCATGAGTGTTTCTGAGCCCTGGATGGAGAGAAGAAGGAAATCGGTAACACTCAAAATAGTCACTATCAGAGTTGAAATAACGGAAATCTGGGATATCTGACTAAGATGATTTAGGTTCCCTGGATAAAAAAACCTTCTGGTGCTAAAAGCTAAGCTTGACATAAAGAAACACGCTGATGTTCTGGAAGGCTAGGCCTCCAGATTTTTGAGAATCTGCATATTTGTAAATGACACGTACAAAAATATGTAATTTTTGTGGCCGGGCGCGGTAGCCCACGCCTATAATCACAGCACTTTGGGAGGCCGAGGTGGATGGATCACTTGAGGTCAGGACTTTGAGACCAGCCTGGCCAACATGGAGAAACCCTGTCTCCACTGAAAATACAAAAATTAGCCAGGTGTGGTAGTACGTGCCTATAATCCCAGCTAAGGAAGCTGAGGCAGGAGAATCGCTTGAACCCAGGATGCAGAGGTTACAGTGAGCTGAGATTGCGCCATTGCACTCCAGCCTAGGCAACAGAGTGAGATTCCATCTCAAAAATAAAATTTTTAAAAAGTGTAATTTTTATTCATAAAAGATGGGAAAATTACAAAATACAAGTGATCCTCTGGACTTCTGCCGAGCCTTTAAATAAAGGACATAATGTATAAGTTTAAAATATAAAGTCTGGGTCAGGCACAGTGGCTCACACCTATAATCCCAGCACTTTGGGAGGCTGAGGCAGGCAGATCACCTGAGGTCGGGAGTTCAGGACCAGCCTGGCCAACATGGTGAAACCCCGTCTCTCTCTCTCTCTCTCTCTCTTTTTTTAAAGACTGGGTTTTACCATGTTGGTCAGGCTGGTCTTGAACTCCTGACCTCAGGTGATCTGCCCGCCTTGGCCTCCAAAGTGCCTGGATTACAGGCATGAGCCAACATGCCTGGCCTGAAACCCTGTCTCTACTAAAAATACAAAAAATTAGCCGGGTGGGGTGGTGGGTGCCTGTTGTCCCAGCCACTCAGGAGGCTAAGGTAGGAGAATCACCTGAACCCGGAAGGCAGAGGTTGCAGTGAGCCAAGATTGCTCCTCCATACTCCGGCCTGGTGACAGAGCAAGACTCCGTCTCAGTCAATCAATCAATCAATCAATAAAATATAAAGTCTGCCCCATTGTTGATGATAAAAGTGTATACTGGAAGGTATGTGAACCATATATTTAAAACATATAGGCTAGGTGTGGTGGCTCATGCCTATAATCCCAACACTTTGGGAGACCGAGGCAGGTGGATCATTTGAGGTCAGGAGTTTGAAATCAGTCTGGCCAATATAGTGAAATGCTGTCTCTATAAAAATACAAAAAATCAGCTGGGTGTGATGGTGTACGCCTGTAATCTCAGCTACTCGGGAGGCTGAGGCAGAAGAATTGCTTGAATCTGGGAGGTGGATGCTGCAGTGAGCAGAGATCGTGCCACTGCACTCCAGCCTGGGTGACAGTGCAAGACTCCATCTAAAAACAAACTATCCAGCATCCAATGCAGCTGGCACCTGATCAAAGATTGCTAGGCATACAAAGAGGCAGGAAGACATGACCCATAATGAGGAGATAACCAACTGAGACCAACTTCACACTGGCATATGTGTTAGAATTAGCAGAGATGGACATTAAAACAGTTATAGCTATACACACACATGAACACACACTTTAGAGACAGGGTCTCACTCTTTCACCCAGTCTGGAGTGCACAATCACAGCTCACTGCAACCTTTAACTCCTCGGCTCAAGCAAGCCTCCCTCTGCGGCCTCCCAAGTAGCTAGGACTACAGATGCATGCCACCATGGCTGGATAATTTTTTTTTTTTTTTTTTGAGACAGAGTTTCGCTCTTGTTGCTCAGGCTGGAGTGCAGTGGCACAATCTTGGCTCACTGAAATCTCTGCCTCCCAGGTTCAAATGATTCTCCTGCCTCAGCCTCCCGAGTAGCTGGGATTACAGGCATGCGCCACTACGCCTGGCTAATTTTGTATTTTTAGTAGAGACCACATTGGTCAGGCTGGCCTCAAACTCTTGACCTCAGGTAATCTACCTGCCTTGGCCTCCCAAAGTGCTGAGATTACAGGCGAGGGCCAACGTGCTCAGCCTTTTTTTTTTTTTTTTTTTTTTGAGACAGAGTCTTGCTCTGTCACCCAGGCTAAAGTGCAGTGGCACGATCTTGGCTCACTGCAACCTCTGCCTCCTTGGTTCAAGTGCCTCAGTCTCCCAAGTAGCTGAGATCACAGGCATGTACCACCACGCCTGGCTAATTTTTTGTATTTTTAGTAGAGACGAGGTTTCACCATGTAGACCAGGCTGGTCTCAAACTCCTGACCTCAGGTGATCCCCCCGCCTCAGCCTCCCAAAGCACTGGGATTACAGGTGTGAGCCACCACACCCAGCCAGCACTCATTATTTTTAATTCCTATCATCCTCAGAAATGATGGGGTCTCATCTGATGCCCTTAATAAAAACTGTACCAGCTTTTCTAGGACCGCATTCCTCCCCCTGCCTCTGGCTGTTATGTCCATTTGTCTAGGACTTTGAGGTGTTTGTTCTAAAAAACCATTATTTTGATTTTAGTTACTATGGCACACTAAATATAAGCTCTCAAAGATATCCACATCCCCATCCTCCTAACCTGGAAGCATTACCTTACGTGGCAAAAGGGATTTTGCAGTTGTGATTAAGGATCTTGAGATGGAGAGAGCATCCGGGTTACCCAGGTAGATGCAGTGATGAAGTCACAAAGGTCCTTACAAGAAGGAGGCTGAAGGTGATGTGGCCAGAGCCAAGGGCTGCTGGCCACACTTAGAAGCTGAACATGACCAGAAATGGATTTCCCCCCAGAGCCGCCTGCCAACAACTTGACTTCTGCCAACAACTTGACTTCTGCCCCATGAAACGTGTTGCTGGGCTTGCATCCTCCCGATCTGTAAGGTAACAGATCTGTGTGGTTTTAAGCCACTAAGTCTGTGGTCATTTGTTGGAACAGCCACAGGAAGCACACATTGTCCCCTCTTTCCTCCCATGACTGACTGGCTAGTCTTTCCAGTTTACCTTTTATTTTATTTTATTTTATTATTATTATTTTTTTGAGACGGAGTTTTGCTCTTGTTACCCAGGCTGGA